GAAGGGAAAGAGGAAAAGGAAGTGAAAGGGAAAGAGGAAGTGAAAGGGAAAAAGGAATGGAAAGGGAAAGAGGAAAAGGAAGAGGAAGGGAAAGAGGAAATGAAAGGGAAAGGGAAAAAGGAATGGAAAGGGAAAGAGGAAGAGAAAGAGGAAAAGGAAGTAAAAGGGAAAGAGGAAGTGAAAGGGAAAAAGGAATGGAAAGGGAAAGAGGAAAAGGAAGTGAAAGGGAAAGAGGAAGTGAAAGGGAAAAAGGAATGGAAAGGGAAAGAGGAAAAGGAAGTGAAAGAGGAAGTGAAAGGGAAAAAGGAATGGAAAGAGAAAGAAGAAGGGAAAGAGGAAAAGGAAGTGACAGGGAAAGAGGAAGTGAAAGGGAAAGAGGGAAAGGAAGTGAAAGGGAAAGAGGAAAAGGAAGTGAAAGGGAAAGAGGAAAAGGAAGTGAAAGGGAAAGAGGAAAAGGAAGTGAAAGGGAAAGAGGAAGAGAAAGGGAAAGAGGAAAAGGAAGTAAAAGGGAAAGAGGGAAAGAAAGTGAAAGGGAAAGAGGAAGAAAAAGGGAAAGAGGAAGGGAAAGAGGAAAAGGAAGTGAAAGGGAAAGCGGAAGTGAAAGGGAAAGAGACAAAGGAAGGGAAATGGAAAGAGGAAGGGAAAGAGGAAAAGGAAGAGGAAGGGAAAGAGGAAGAGGAAGTGAAAAGGAAAGAGGAAAAGGAAGAGGAAGGGAAAGAGGAAAAGGAAGTGAAAGGGAAAGAGGAAAAGGAAGTGAAAGGGAAAGAGGAAGGGAAAGAGGAAAAGGAAGTGAAAGGGAAAGAGGAAAAGAAAGTGAAAGGGAAAGAGGAAGGGAAAGAGGAAAAGGAAGAGGAAGGGAAAGAGGAAAAGGAAGAGGAAGAGGAAGGGAAAGAGGAAACTGAAGTAAAAGGGAAAGAGGAAGTGAAAGGGAAAGAGAAAAAGGAAGGGAAATGGAAAGAGGAAGGGAAAGAAGAAAAGGAAGTGAAAGGGAAAGAGGAATGGAAATGGAAAGAGGAAGGGAAAGAGGAAAAGGAAGAGGAAGGGAAAGAGGAAGGGAAAGGAAAAAAGGAAGGGAAAGAGGAAAAGGAAGAGGAAAAGGAAGTGAAAGGAAAAGAAGAAGGGAAAGAGGAAGGGAAAGAGGAAGGGAAAGAGGAAACGGAAGAGGAAGGTAAAGAGGAAAAGGAAGTGAAAGGGAAAGAGGAAAAGGAAGGGGAAGAGGAAGGGAAAGAGGAAACTGAAGTAAAAGGGAAAGAGGAAGTGAAAGGGAAAGAGGAAGAGGAAGGTAAAGAGGAAAAGGAAGTGAAAGGGAAAGAGGAAAAGGAAGGGGAAGAGGAAGGGAAAGAGGAAACTGAAGTAAAAGGGAAAGAGGAAGTGAAAGGGAAAGAGAAAAAGGAAGTGAAAGGGAAAGAGGAAAGGAAAGGGAAAGAGAAGAAGAGACAACGCAGGGCTAAAAGGGAGCTATTCCCAGATATGGAGGTGCAGAAAGAGAAAAAGATGATGACATGGGATGAATGGAAAAAGATCTGGGAAAAGATGGAACCCAAGATTCAGGAAGAGGAAGAACAGATGCTGGAGAAGAGAGTGTCTGAGGAGAAGAAAGAAGAAGCAAAAGTAGAAGAAGCTGCAGCCACAGTAGTGGCAGCAGAAGGAAAAGAAGAAGGCAAAGAAGAAAAAGGAGAAAAAGGCAAAGAAGCAAAAGGAGTAGTAGTAGAAGAGGAAGGAGAAGAAAAAGAAGAAGTAGGAGAAGAGGAGGAGAAGAAGGGCAAGAAAGAGGAGGAGGAGAAAGAGAAGAAGGAGGAGGTGGAAGAAGAGGAGGAAGAGGAGGGGATACTCACAGAAGAACAGAAACAGATCCAAGAAGAATACAAACAGGCCTGGAGAGAGGGGAAACGAGCCCAAGCTGAAAGACAACTAGCCAAAGCAGAGAAATTACTAGCACAAGAAGAGGAGAAACTTGCACGAGAAGAGAAAACTCTAGCCAAGGAAGAGAGAAAATTGGCCCTAACATATATGAAAATGGCCCCCAAAGTTGGGGAACTGGCCATTAGTGAGAGGAAAATTGGCAAGAAAGAGGAAAAACTGGCTTCAAGAGAGGAAAGCCTAAGCAAGGAAGCAGAACAATTGGCCCAGAAAAAAAAGGATCTGGCCACAAAACTGGAGAAAATAGCTGGAGAAGAAGAGAAAGTCGCAAAGAAAGGACAAAAAGTCACTGAGGTAAAACAAATGTTGTCCGAGAAAATGAAAGTAATGGCCCAGAAGGAGAAAGATCTGGAGTTGCAAGAAGATGAGCTGGCTAAACAAATAGAAGAGCTGGAATGGAACATGCAGGAGTTGGCTTCTAAAGAAGATGAACTGAATCTGAAAGAAGAAAGACTATTTGAAGAAAAAGAGGAACTATCTGAAAAAGAGAAGGCACTCAACTTGCAGGAGGAGCATCTGAATAAGAGAGAGAGAGAAATGTCTTGGGAAGAAGAGCTGCTGACCCAGGAAGAAGAGAAACTTAGCAAGAACACAGCCATAATAGATCCTGAAATGTTAGATCTGGAATGGAAAAGACTAGCTCAGAAAAAGGAGGCAATAAAAATAAACAAAGATAAACTGATCCATGAAAAGGACAGCCTGATCCTTAATAAGAGAGAAGTCAGAAAGAACAAGAAAAGAGTGGCCGAGGAAGAAAAAGCTATAACTCAGGAAAGGAACTATCTGGCTCAGGAAAGGGAAAAATTTCCTCCAAGGAAAAAGGTTCTCCAGCAAGACAAAGAAAGACTCCTCCAAGGGAAAGAAGAGTTAATTCAAATAAAGAAAAGACTGGAGCTATTCAAGGACAAAGTGACTCAATTAGAGGAGGAGATGAAACAGGAAAAGTTAGCACTAAACCAGAAGAAGGTGAATATTATTGTTTCGGAGAAGAAGCTGGCTCAAGCTAGTAAAAGTTTAGCTGAAAAACAGGAGAAAATAGCCAAGGAAAAGATAGAATTAATTACAGAGAAGAAGGCATTGTTCCAGGAAAAGAAACTGCTCAGAGAAGAGCAGGATATTCTTAGAGAAGAAAGGGCACTCAAGATGGAAATGAAAAAATTGTCCCAAGAGAAAAAGAGGCTGTCTGAGGAGATTAAAATTCTCTCCAAGGGAGACATTCAGAAAATGTCAAGAGACGGAACAGCACTTGATCGTGAAATAGGCACAATAAGGAAGAAACTGTTACTAGAGGAGAAAATACTTACGTATGAAGATAGGCTGCTGGCCACAGAGGAGAGGGACATTGCCAAAGGAAACTTGGAATTAACTAGAGGACATAGGGCATATGCCCAAGAAGAAAGGAAGTTAGCCAAGATACTAAGGAAAATGGTTCTAGAAAAGCAGGATATTGCCAACGAGCCAATAAAAACAAAGCATTTCTTAAAGGCACTTCAAAATCTAGTCAGTAATGAAAGGAAAATAACTCAGGAAGAAATAAAGATGGCAAAGAAAAAGGGAGCACTCTTTGCTAAGGAGCACAAATTAAGTAAGGAAGAGGACAGACTTGATATCAAAGACTGGGATTTTTCTGAGGAACAAGTAGAAATGACTGAAGATGAGAAGAAACTGGCCAAAAAGCAGAGAAAACTGGCCAAGGAAATGAGAGAAATGATAGGCTTAGAGGAAAAGGTGGCGGAACAAGAAACTATATTGGCCAGAGAACAGGAAGAATTCATACAGGCTACAGAAGAGGAAGCAGTAGTAGAGGAAGAAGAGGAAATCCCATTCTTTAAAGAAATGTGGAAAAAAAGAAAACAGTTGAGGAGAATTTCTGCCAAAAAAGGAAAGCTTTTCAGTGAAGAGGAGCTGGAAAGTGAAGAGAAATTTTGTAAAGAAATGGAAACCCTATTAGACAATGTGGGGCTAGTGAGTTTGTCTGAGGACGAAGATGAGGAGGAGGAGGAAAAGGAGGAAAAGGAGGAGGAGGAAGAGGAAGAAGAGGAAGAGGAGGAAGAGGAAAAGGAGGAGGAAGAGGAAAAGGAGGAGGAAGAGGAAAAGGAGGAGGAAGAGGAAAAGGAGGAGGAAGAGGAAAAGGAGGA